AGTCATCTCTGGAATTCAATTGTTTAAGAAAATCATTTATAATTAAAGGGACAAAATAAAATACGATCGTCTCATGCATATTTAATCATTCACACTTCCAGCTTTGAAACCATTTTCCGTGCGTGAATTTTCTCACTAATTTAAACCCCGAAGTCGACCGCTGTTCGCTAAAACATCTGGACAGTGCAGCTTTCAAACTTGTTTAAATTCGAGTAAGCTAAAGGAGCCCCGTTGCTGGTTTAAAAAAGCCAGAAGAAAATGCAACAACTCCGGCGAAACTTTGGGATATGTTTAAAAATGCCGAGCTAAGGATAAAGTAATCTTGAGTAGAAATGCAAATATGTGCATTTTGATTTAGCCTAATTAAACCGGTGTTATGTGCAAACACATTCTCTCTCTACACTCGGCTTGGGTTTAAGAGAGCAAATTAATTCCCCTCGCCTGGTGTTTCGGCTGTAACACGCCCCCTCCCCTGACCACTGAAAATTTCCCACGAAGTAAAACACTTCGGCGACGCCACGTCTCGAGCGCAAAACGGAGACGCGAGCCCCGCCGACAGGCCCCAGTCGATAGCGCGGGCCGGCCCCGGGCGCGGGGCGGTGTCGCTTCCTCAATTAGGATTGAGATGTAGCCTGATTTTTCTTTTTGAGATGAAATGCGTGAGATCAAAACGGGGGGGGGGGGGAAGAAACCTCAGACACACTTTCGGAGCTGCTCGGACCGTTGAGCTGGGAAAAGTGCGAGCGCGACGACAAGCCCAGAGCGCGCGACGGCCTCGTTATCTAGGCAAAGGGCCTCGAACTTTGGAAGGCCACTTGTCCAAAAGGAGGCCCGCGGTGAGGGGGAGGGATCCTTTAGGGGGCTTCCCCACGCTTCCCCCAGGTGGCTGCGGCGCTCCCTCCTCCTCCTACGCCCACTCGGCAATCTCTGAGCTGCAAAGTGCAGGCTTGAAATTCAGGACAAGTGTGACACCTACCTGTGAGAGGGGGAAACCGTCCCCTCGCCGGCCTCGCGGCCCCGGCCCCGCGGCCGGGCGGGTGTCTGCTGGGCCGCCCGCCACCCGCGCCGTCGCGGAGGGGACGTTCATAATTTAATCAAACCCAAAGAAGAGATCAGTGCCCAATTTTGAAGGGGCAGAGAAGACGGGGACTCGGGAAAGCCTTCCCCTTGGCATCCCCGAACGCTCCCCGCCCGCATTAGCCCGAAGCACCTTTGAAATAGTAATAAGGGCTAAATCCGGCATAAAATCGAACTCATTAGCAAAGTTCACCAGCTGATTGCTTTGCATAAAACACGACACTGATTGGAAGTAATTAGGTTAAGCGATGGCGCTCGGGTGGTGCGTGTCCCTAGCTGGCTTTGCCATCTCTTCTCCCTTCTGGGTACACACTTGGGTCTCTTCTTCCTCCAGAGCCCCGTCTCCCCCACGCAGTACGCCTTCCCAGTCCGCACTGCGGGCAGGGCCCGGCCTCCGGGACGGACAGCCCAAGTGTGGTTTTCCCTGGAACACGGAGGGCCCGGTTGTGGAACCTGTCGGTGCCCACTTCGAAAAAAGTTGCAGTTTGCACCTCTTGACCAAGGCAATGAACAGTTTATTGAGGCTTCTCAAAAGTAATGAGTGGCTCTGATTATGTTAAAATCTCTTTTAATTAAATATTTTGCATTTTACAAAGGCGCCTGCAGTTTCTTTTACTTTTTAAATCTAAGAGTATAACCTGTGTCCTTTCTGTAATAATACTTTAGCTCATACCCAGAAGAATCAATAGATGTAAAAAATTAAATTAAACTTGTATTTTTAAACTATGAAACAGTTTTGGGGGCAACACAAATGTATATATTTATATTACAAAAAAACATTAAATGCCTGTACAGGTGTCTTGATTTCATAATTTACTTCAAAGATATTGAATTATCAATTTAAATACAAAATGCTACATTAAATATACAGAATAAGATTTAATACAAATCCTTTTTTAAATTTTTCTTTTCAGTTGGTTAAGACATTTTTTGTGTGTGTGGAGATGTTTACATTTTTATGTCACCCATCTCCATAAACTATAAACTTCTGAATAGGAGGGGTAGTTTATTTCTTTCTCTCTCTCTCTCTCTCTCTCTCTCTCTCTCTCTCTCTCTCTCTCTCTCTCTCTCTCTCTCTCTCTCTCTCGGTGATGGAAAAATAACTGCCAAGGCCATGTTTTTAATAAATTAGAAAAGTCCGGGACCGACGCAGCCCGCGTTAAATGTCGGACATACCTTTCTTCAGTTCATAGGGAGAGTCTTTGCACAGGTCTAGCTGGGACTGGCTCCGCAACATTTTCGGGTCTTTAGCCAAAGCGTCCGCTCGATTCAACACGGTCTGGTTTAATCCATTGAAATGAGAGCCCGGACCGGTTGTGGCGCCTGGGCCAGGACCCGGGTGGCCATGAAGGTGTCCGAAGGAGCCATAGTTCGTGTAGCCGGGATAGAAGGGCGCGGTGTAGTAGAGGGGTCGGGACAGCACCGTCCCGCCCGGAAAATGACACTGCGCCGAGGGCGAGCGCGACGGCGCCGGGGCCGGTGAGGCGCGGCTGCCTCCCAGGGCTTGGCCGGCCATGGGCCCAGGGCACGGGGGGCAGGGAGAGCCCTCGCTCCCGCCGCCCCCGTCCTTGACCTTGTCCGAGGATGTGGCGATCTCTGCCAGAGACCACAGT